AAATATTAGAAGTTCGTACGAAGCTAAGCCATAGAATATCCTATTTATCATTGTGATTCTTTTCTTGCACACAAACTGTTATAATTTAGTGATTATATTACTCATTAATTTATTTTTTACGATAAATGATTAAGTTATCATCAAAATCAAAGCTATAACATTTTGTATCATTTTATAACTTGTTAAGAATGATTTTAATATAAATATGTGTGTGTATGTGTGTGAATATGATAATTGAATAAATCCAATTGATCGACAACGTCCTCGAACTAGTTGAAAATGGCCTCTAATTGGCTCAACTAAAAGTAAACCCAATTGAGCAACCCGAAGTCATCTACAAGCAATGGTGAAAGCTTGCCTATGATGCAGACACATAGATGTAGGGGAAATGGACAAGATACAACACAAATACGAGATATGTCTATTATTAAAAATATAAGATTTTAATAATATTTAATCAAAGATTATTAATATCAAAAATAACTAATTAAGTAGTATTATGTATTAACCAATATCATTATAATTACTAAAGGTAAACATTGAGGAAACTATAATAAAGAAGCTAAATAAAGGAGGAAATGAAATAGCATAAGAATCAAATGATGCATTAGTGAACATGTTTAAGTTATTGCTACACTTCATTATAAGATGCTCCAAAATAAAAGCTAGGCTAAAACATATTCAAATTAAATTAATAATCATCTATGGGGTATATAAACTTATTTTTTAAGTGGCACTCCTATATGTCGGATAAGCAACACATTTTTTAACATATCAACAAATGACTTATTGTAGATTTAGCCAATAAAGATAGGCTTATAAGAGTGCTAAGAGCCTTATGACTTCTTATATGAGATACTAGCCCTCAACCATGTACTTTATGATTTGTTACTGCCACGAGAATTTATTCAAAATTCATAGCTGATTTTGCTTAAATAATAAACCTTTAACTTGTCAAAAATATTTGTATGGTGAATATTACTGTGGATTTCTCATGACATTGACAAATCATTATTACACTCATATAAGTTGCACAATACTTCATTGACAATAATGCTCATTTTTAAGGCCATCAATTGACTAGCGCTCCAACTAAGGGCATCCAGAAATTGCTTGTAACATGGCTTTGTGATTTAGCATAAATATAAATTTATAAAGAAACATATCTCAATGTGTATGTATGCAGTTGAGGTTCTTTTGGGTAAATTTGAAGAGATTGATAGTTGATAAATAAAATGAACTCTTAATGGAGCATGCTTCCACTATTTTAAGGCATTAATGGTTGCAAAATACTATTGCTCATATGTTGATTATCATTATCTTATTGAGCTCAATTTCATAATGAAAAAAGTTCAATGAGCTTACTCTCTTGTGATAAGACAATGCTTATCATGATTGTTGAAGCATTGTTATTTAATTGAAACGGCTAGGTATTGTACATTCTTTCTCTTTGAATGCATTGAAACTCGTTATATTTGTAATTTCACTCAAATATTTTCCGTTTCAAATAGCTAGTGATCATAGCCATGATTATGCTATTTTGAATTGATGGTAAAAATTTGTTAGACCAATAAAACTTTTCAAATCCATATGTGACGTAAGAATATGCCATTACTTGATAACATCAACCTTGGAGGCTCTGCCTGGATGCCTCATATTTGATTACAAATCATAAGAAGTGAATATTTATGATAGTGAATTCTCATTTATGAAGAACAAGATATAGCTATTATCTTATAAGGCCACAATAATTGATGGAGGTGTTGCAAATGCTCAATCAATGATGGATTGAAAAACAAAGCTAAATAGTGTGTCAAATAAGTCGATGTCATCACTCTCTATTTAAATAATATTTCTTGTGTTTTGAATGTCAGTTTTCAAACATGTTTAGCTCAAATATGAATTTGGTGATACCTATTTCAAAGGTCCAACGTGGAGAATATGGTAGCACCAATTGTCATCTTTCTTTAGAAAAATTAGTGGTAGTAAAACATAAGGGGTATGACTATAGAGTTATTGACTCCTCATACTCCAACTCGTTACTTGCCAGCCCTTTTGAGAGTATGAATCTCGTTTAATAGAGCGAAGAGAAGGATTATGAGACAATAAAATGGTGGCCGTGTCAACCCACACACAATAAAGAAATGATGTCTTCAATGAGGTGCCTTTTAATGTGAGGTCATACAGTATGACATGCATACTTTCTTAAGCCTGTTGTATTACCATATGTTAGCACAAAAACAACTAAATGATTACCTAGAATATTGGCTTCATAAATGATATTTAATATAATTTCATAAATCCATATGATATGGTAGAAGTTACACATGGTGCAATATGATTAGTAGTGTCGTCCATCATTCGCTGCATTCAATCTCCAAATCTCAAGCCAAAATTCAATAGATGAATAGTGCGATGCAGATATTAGCATCGGACTGTTCACCTATACCAAAAAACTCTCACTTGCGAATTTGTCAAAAAAGAGCAAAACAGAAGAGAAAAACATGCGAACGAGGAGAGAAATGATCATCTTCACATGAAGCGTGCTAAAGAGAAGATACATAAAATTATATTGAAGATGAATTATGCTATTTTAAAATTTTATTTTATGTAAAATGAATTTTTCGATTGAAGATGCTGGGTTTTCAGCATGGGCGGATCCACCCTAGTCTATTTGCCCACCCTCAATTTTTTTTTTTAATATTTATAGGAGATTTTTTGGAATATTTTGAGTATTTTAGGCATTTTGCCCCCCCCCTCAAAAGTATTTTTTGCCCTAATTTTATCAATTCTATGCATTTTTGTCCATCCCCACAAAAAAAAATTTTTTTGCCCACCCTGAAAAAAGAAGCTGGATCCGCCCCTGATTTTCAGATTACAAAATTATTCTCAGCAGCCAACTCTAATTCCACGCTGCGTTCTAATTTTATCTTTATCAATTTTAACTTTTTATTTTGGTATCTTCTGCATCAGTTTACGAGTTCGTAATTTGGATTCTTTATTTTATTTCCTTGTTTAGTAGATGCAAATGCCGCCCTTAATCACTCAGCGGTGCGTGTGGAGTACGCTACTTCCCTCTAACCTCTACGGTCTCCCACCTTCCGTTGGCAATCGCCGGAGACCTAATTTAAACCTACTTTGCGGTCCGTGCAAAATCCGCTGCTTTATTATCCTCTCATCATTCTCCCAAATTCCGTCGGCTATGGCCGGAGAGCTAATTTAAACCTACTTTCTTGTCCGTGTAGTATCTGTTACTTTCACATCCCCTCTGCCGCCTTCCACCTTCCACCTTCCACCTTCCACCTTCCGTCGTCGATTGCAAGAGACCTAATTTTGGTTTCTCTTTGGTCGATTCTATCAATGGAAACCCAGCAACGGAGGTTCCGCCTCCAGGTTCTCTCGATTTTCTTTCTCTGCCTGGTGGTCTCTGCCCGCTGCGTCGACCGGAACTGGTGGAAGAAGAAGAAGCACGATATCAAGGGCCCTATCAAGACAATTGTGGTCGTAATGATGGAAAATCGCTCCTTTGATCATATGCTCGGATGGCTTAAGTCCTCCAGGCCGGACATTGACGGCCTTACTGGCCGGGAGTCAAATCGGCTATCGGTCTCCGACCCTTCCTCTCCGGAAATTTTTGTTACCGACGACGCAGTATTTATCGATTCGGACCCCGGCCACTCCTTCCAGGCTATCCGCGAGCAGATCTTTGGCTCCTCAGACGCCTCCGCCATACCCGCTCCAATGAATGGTTTTGCTCAGCAGGCAGCCAGCATGGGTGAAGGCATGGAACATACTGTCATGAGCGGTTTCGCCCCGGAAAACGTTCCTATCTTCGCCGCCCTTGCTAATGAATTCGCCGTCTTCGATCGCTGGTTTGCTTCCGCGCCAACGTCAACCCAGCCCAACCGCTTCTACGTGCACTCCGCTACTTCCCATGGTGCCATGAGTAACGTCAGGCATGATCTCATTCATGGATTTCCGCAAAAGACAATCTTTGACTCCCTCGACGAAGAGGGGCTAAGCTTCGGAATTTACTATCAGAACATCCCAGCCACGCTTTTCTTCAAGAGCCTACGGAAGCTAAAGCACTCCTTAAATTTCCACAACTACCAGTACACCTTCAAGCTGCACGCAAGGTCGGGGAAGCTGCCAAATTATGCTGTGATCGAGCAGCGCTATTTTGATTGCGAACTCTTTCCAGCTAATGATGATCACCCCTCTCATGACGTTGCTCGTGGACAGCGGTTCGTTAAGGAGGTCTACGAGACGCTCAGAGCGAGCCCACAGTGGAACGAGACGGCTCTACTCATCACGTATGATGAGCATGGGGGTTTCTTTGATCATGTTCCGACACCAGTGGAAGGCGTGCCGAACCCTGATGGAATCATTGGTCCGGAACCCTACTACTTCAAATTCGATCGCTTGGGGGTGCGGGTGCCTACCTTCCTTATATCACCTTGGATTGAGAAGGGAACAGGTGAGTGGCCTAATCTTTGCATTCTTGCAAGCTTTCTTGTTTTTGGGGAACCTTAGGCTGTTAATGAACTCAGCAGAATCGGGACTCTGCTCAAGCTTAACTTGATGATAGTAATCCTGCTAAATTTAAGCTCGAAAACAACCTGAGCTTTAAAAGTCTCAGTAGAGGTTCTCATTTATTTCTTGTTGAGTTCAAATTGGAGCTTTTAGGCCAAATTTTCATTTGGAGCTCTTGAAATAATTAAATTTATGATGGGAGGCCATAATAATTTACATTTTATACGGAGCCAAGTCTCCTTTTTAATGATGACTTCTATTTAGCCAGTGAGTAGGCTTCGCTTCCACCAATGATTGGCTTCATTTGATCACCCTCAAGTATGAGCTACTTCTATTTTTTAACTTTAGTTTTTATTTGAAAGTATATGATAAAGTTTCAAGAGAAATGTAATGGAGAGTTCTAGAAAAGAAATGAATTAATAATGTTTGTATTCAAGCCATTAAGAATATGTATATATGAGTTGTTACTAGTGTTCAAACACAAGGTGGTTTAACCAAGTGTTTTCCTATTTCAATTGAATTACACCAAGGATCAGCTTAAAGCCTATTTTTTTTTGCTTTAGTCATGAATGTTCTTACTAGACATTTGCAATAGGATGTACCTTGGTATGTGTTTTTTGTTGATGATATTCTTCTTGTTGATAAGAGTAGATATGGCGTAGATGAAACTATTTGAATTATGGAAGTCAATCTTAGAGTCTAAAGGTTTCCTTTTGAGTATATCTAAAATAAATACAAAAAGTAATTTTAGTGGTAATGAATCTAGTGGTGGTATTGTGACATTGGGTGTTCAAGTCACTTAAAATAGACACTTTTTAGATATCTCAATGTATTGTTCAAAATGATGGCGATATAGATGGGGTATTAATAGTAGAATTCAAGTCGGATGGTTGAAGTGGAGGAATGCATCGGGCCTAATGTCTAATAGAAAGTGCCCCTCAAACTTAAAGGAATTTTTATAAGATGGTGGTGAAACCTGTAATGCTTTATGGCGTAGAATGTTGGCCATTAAAAGAGAAACATAAAACTAAGTGTTGCAGAGATGAGGATGCTCAGGTGGATGAGTAGCTTTACACTTAGAAATAGAATGAAAAATGAGTTTATATGTGAAAAGTTTGGAGTAGCTCTAGTTGCTAATAAGATTAGAGAGAGTCTTCTTAGATGGTTTGATTCAGATATAATCTCGTCCTTATGATAACCCTCTTAGAAGAGTAGATGCATTAGATACAGCTTATGTTAAGAAAGTAGAGGTAGACCTAAATAGGCTTAGTTAGAAAGTGTTAACAATGACTTTTTTATTAGATTTAGATGAGAATTTGGCTCTTAATTGGACACAATGGAGAAAAATGATTAATGTAGCTGACCCCAATAGTGGAATAAAGGCTTGTTGTTGTTGTTTTTTTTTTTTTTTTTTAAAAAT